GAGTTTAGCTAGGCAAGTTTATAGTAAGCTTATAAATTAATTAAAGAGATAGTCTACCAACATAACATTCCTCCTTACAGTATAACCTAGTTTTGTCCTAAGTCAAACTTCTCTACAAAGTCCACAGAAAAATGTGCTATCGTCGTCCTATGTCAAGTTAATTTGGGAAAGATGACCATTTGTAGAGTAAGCTGCATCTCATATGTTCCATCTATAACTACCCAAACGTTTACGAGATCCAGCCCAAACATTTTGCTCCTAAAGGCCTAAAGGGAACCGGCTATCCCTAATTTTAAAGCCAAAACATGATATGCAACAGATAGACAAGGCGCTTGGTCTACTATGGGAATTTACAGCAGCATCTCATCGAACAGAAGGGATGCAGGCAATTGTTAAAGCCAAACCTAGGGCCGAAATGTAGGGCGCCAGATACGTTGACCTCACCTCGTGCTTGGCGGCGGCGGGGGCGGGGCGGCGGCGGTGCCTCTGCGAGGAGGTCTGTGCTCGAACGGCTCCGGGGGGCGGCTGGTACGCCCGCTACTGGGTGGAGCGGGGACGGAGCTCGCAGGGGCGCACAAACCCTAGGTCGGGATGAGAAGGGCGGGGTGGAGCCGGAGGGCTGGACCCGAGACCCGAGAGGAGTAGGGTTGTACGCCGGAGGAGCCCGGCTAGAAGTAGCGGCCCCGGCTGCTGCGCAGGAGGGGAGGGGACCGACGTTCCTCGGCCGGATCGACACAGCACGGAGGCGCCGGACCACGGACCCGTAGTGGCGTTTTTTCGACGAAAGCAGTTTCGGGTCCAGACTCTTTTTTTTAAAGTTAAGGAAAGGGTCCAAAACGAACCTTATTTTTTATAAGGCAAATCGAACCTTAAATTGGTGAATTTAAGGTGAATGAAAGGTAAATCGAACCCTGAACTTTAAATCCCGGAAATTGACACTTTGAACTTATCAATCCCGTCTGGATAAGGTACTACTCTCACTTACGACTATTTCTCCAATCTTGAACTGTTTTTCAAATTTGAACATTTCAAAACGTGAACATTTTTTGAAAGATGAAAAAAAAACTAGGAGAAACCGTAGCAAACATTTTTTGAAAAACTAGGTGGTACTGTAGCAGAAAATATTGAAGACATGCTGGTCTGAATAATTTTTTGTACTGCGAACATTGTTTACAAATTCTGAATAGTTTTTCAAAACATTGATTGTATTAAAACACAACCAATTTTTAAAAAAGCAAACACTATTTCGGACATAATTATTTTAAAATAAAAACAGGTACAGATTCTGAAGCATGAACAATTTTTTCAAAATATTTATACAATGTCAAAAAATGTTATTGTCATCACGTAAATGTAAAACATGATGTTTAGAAAATATTGTTGTGTCACATTGTTCAAAACATGTTTTTGGAATTTCGTATACTATTTGTTTTTAAAAAATATTCTGTATTTCAAACTGTTCAAATTTTTTTCAAGAAATGTTTCATAATTTTTCAAAAAACAAATCATATATGAACGATACTCTCTGTTCTTATAAGGAATGTGCTATGTCAGATCAATTGCATCCTTCAGTTGCGTTGGCTAGGTGCGGCCACCACTAGCCCGAGGTTACTTGTTCGAATCATCCTGTCATGCACATTACTTACTACTAGTATTTTTTCTCGCTTGGGTTCGTAGAAAACGAAAAAGAAAAAACACCCAATTAACTGCGTCGATGGGCTGGCCTGATTTATCCTAGTATCCAGCCAATCAGTCAAGTATCTTTTTCTCCAAAAAAAAAAACAAGTCAGTGAAGTATCCTTGCCACATCAGGCAGCAGAGGCAGACCACGATTTTTTTTTAAAGTGGGGCGAATTCTCATTAAGAACACACTAACAATGCACACTACAAACGAATAACCAAATAAATTCTCTTCCACTATAGCTTCAAGAGAATCTGTAGTTTGTTCTTCCACTTGTTCGATTGCATCAAATTTTTATGCTCTAGTTCCACAGAACTCACTTGATGTTGATGAGTGGCATGTGCCGAAACATTGACACTTTCACGGGTACTTGGGTTCGATTTTGAGC